CTCCCGCTGTCTCCTACCCCTCGCTCCGGGCCCCCAGAGCCTCCCTGAGCGCCTTCCTCCCGTTCACGCTGGCACCCCGGGCGGCAGCCCTGTGCGGGGGCGGAGGGGGGCCGTCCCTTTGCCTAGGCCGCTGCCGGGTCAGGCCAGCTTCGGCTTAGGCCCTGCCGAAAATATCCCGGTCGTTTGTGGGTGGATTAAGGTCCTGGCGGTGTTACCTTGGCTCTATCGGAATCGCTTATCGTGCCATCAAACTTGTAAGTGCGGATTTGGTTACACGGACGTTACGAAGCCTGTGGTGGTACAGTTTGTTATAAACTGGCAAAAGCTCTTTCTGGCTGCACAAACCGTCTGTGAATGGAGGACGCCCGGCCCGCGTCCAGCGGCGGGGGGGCATGCCGCCACCTCCGCGGCTCCGTCAGGGAGAGTCTGCGTGGGGCACGGTGCAGTGGATTTAAAGTCTCCTGTAGCGCCGTAGGACGTGAGAGTTAATCAGTTACCGTAAAATGATGTTGCTGCCCGATTACATCGACATGTTACGCTGTGCTCTGCAGTGATCTTGGAGCAGGGGTCAACAGTTCAGCTGTCAGTAGTATCAAGGAAACAACCTTTGGCGTGGATAGCTGGTGTTTTAATTGCATGTTACTAGAGCCTCTGCCCAGCTAAATGTGGGTATTGCTCATGTCCTCGAGGAGACATTTTAAAGAATCAGGTGTATAAGCAGAACGTAGTGGCTGTGAGACTATTGTTCAGAAGATTTGTAGAAGTAATCTTGTAGTGAGATGAGATTGAAGTTAATATAAGAAGTGAAGTCTTCATTTTGACCTCTCCTTGCAGGCTGCAGAAGATGTCAATGTTACTTTTGAAGATCAACAGAAAATTAACAAGTTTGCAAGAAATACTAGCAGGATCACAGAGCTGAAAGAAGAAATAGAAGTGAAAAAGGTATATTTGCTTCAAATATCACTTATTCTTCATTGCTCTGATTTAATTTTCAGCTGTAACACAGAAAATAGGGGCTGTGGCTTACTGTAAGTAATGCTTTGGTTCTAATATGGGATTTCTGATACTTTGAAAATAGCCAGAGAATGTCAGAGTGGAAAAAGAAGTCATGAGAAATAAAGGCCATTAGTATATTTCTGCATGCAGTTCTTAGAACTCCTTAGTTGTCGTATATGAAGCATTGTCTCTATATAATGGCTGTTTGTAGTGTTCGTAAAATTTCCTGCCTGATATTGTTCATATTTATTTTTTCTTGAACCAGTAAGGCAGTTGTTTGTTACGTTCTTCTTTCAGTGTATTGACAGAGGTTGTCTTTAGGAGCACAGAGGTTTTCTTTTGCTAGGCTGAAGAGGATACATCATTCTAATTTTATTTTTTAGTATTAATTCACTTTCCTTCAACATCAGTCATAGCATTTCCGAAAAAGTTTTATTGAGTTTTTTAAAAAAGCTAGTACTGTCACAAAATGTTTTCTATAATTACTTATGTCTGTTATAAAAATGTTGCGTTTTTAGTTGATGTTCCATCGATGGCTTAAGGTGCTGGGACTGTGGGACTCTAAACAATCCTACTTTTCCAATAAAGTAATTAACATTTGCTTTCTTATTTATTAATTTTTTCTGTTCTTTAGCTAAATTAAAAAAATCCCATGTAAGAGTATATTAGATACAGAAGATTTAAATTTTACTAGTATTTCCCTTGTCTAGACAGTTAATTATCCTGTTAATGACAGATAATGAGTATTAACTAGAAATTTCTACTGGTACAACTCCATTGAATGTAATACTTATGCTAAATTACAGCTCTGGAATTGTTCTATTAAACATATTGATATCATGCTGGCAGGTAGGATTTTTGCCCAAAATGCAGGCTCACTGAGTTCATTATTCAACTGATAGTATGACGATGTGTCCATTGAAATAATTGTAACTAGTACAAAGTGACTGCCTTTTTTATGTCTCGATAAATAGAAACAACTTCAAAATTTGGAAGATGCTTGTGATGACATCATGATGCTTGATGATGGTGATTCACTGCTGATACCCTACCAAATTGGAGATGTCTTCATTAGTCATTCCCAAGAAGAGACACAAGAGATGCTGGAGGAGGCAAAGGTTTGTCTGGGCAAAAGGGAGCTCCTTTACTGTAATGGCTGCTATAGTGTGATGAGTATTGGAATGGTATGATCAGTTCATCCTTTGAACCTTTTACTTTCTAAAGTTCATGTTTGATTTATGATTCGAGGAGAGGGATGTGCATGCACATTAAGTCATAACTGGGATGCCAGCATACAAAGTCATGCTAGCCTTTGGTTCGCCCCATAATAAGTCTTACAGCTTTACCTCTTTATTGTTTATATGTTGCTGACAAACATGACTCGGATTGTTTTACATAACTGGTTGATTTTTTTTTTTTTTTCTTTTTTAGAAAAGTTTACAAGAAGAAATTGAAGCATTAGAATCCCGAGTGGAATCAATTCAGAGAGTGTTATCTGACCTGAAAGTTCAGCTCTATGCAAAGTTCGGAAATAACATAAATCTTGAGGCTGAGGACAGTTAAAGGTGTTCTAAATATACCATACAACTCTTCTTTGTTTTATTAAATGTTTTGATAACATTGTTCTAATTACATTAAAAAAAAAAATCCACACACTTTCTTTTTTTCTTTTCTTTTTTTTTTTTAAACTTTCCTGTCTTGGTTTCCATGTATTTAATGAGAGCTTTCTTATTTTGGTTATTGCAGTTATTTATTTGTTCAGGAAAGCATTAGCTTCATACTGTTGGTAAAGCATCAAGATTGGAATACTTGCATTGTTTATTAAGGTAATAAAGTCAGGCACATATTGTAGTTTCCTTGGTCTTGTTTTCCACTCATGAAAATACTGAAGTATAAAATCAATAGAAATGGTGTGTTTTTGCTTTGCGCTGTAGTGGCTGTTTGATATAAGTTTCTCTGTAATATATAGGGCATGATTCAGCTGTAATGCTATTTAGATGCTTTTAGCAGCCGTCCTGGAAATACTAAATCTATCCTTTGTTTTTCAGTCTTAGCTCAGATAGCATAAACACTGTTAGCTCAGTGCACAACGTGGCAACAATGTGACAGGGGAGGAAGGAGGGCTGTTGAAAGCTCGCGTTGGTGTTGAAGAAAAGCTTTTGGAGTCACAGTCATATTCAGTCATTTACTACTTTGTATTTGGGAATCACAAAAGATTATGTAAGTCAGAATGGTGAGTCTTAATTTCTAATTTTCCTGAACAGTCATTTTCTAAATTCACATTTACGTACCAAATTAATGTCAGAACTGTTCATAGGTGATGTTGGTATGTCAGCATCAATCTGTGGAACTATGCCTCCATGACTATGTGGAGTTGAATGTAGCTTTTAAATGTCTTAATTTGCTGACTCCTTTCATCCTTAAAATTACATACTATCTCACTGTAATTCTGCTTTTGGACTTTTGCCTGCTTTGATTAATGTATGTGCAGGAAATACCTCCTCATTATGACTTTGTTTTTAAAAATTAAGTCTTAGCATACTTAAATCATCTTTTTAAGCTGTTTTCCAAAATAGTGTGGACAGAGAATTCAGTTGGCCAAATATTAATCTACAGTCACTGTTCTTAATGTAAATTATCAGAGTATGAGATGGGTGTATTTTTATAAAGTCATTAGTACCTATCTATCACGTGTCAATTGTGTAGCATCTCTTCTTCAAACAGTGTGAGTTTGTAGGAAAAAAACCACTTGACTTCTTTATTATTGAAGTAGTTTTAACAGAGTAGTGATGCTGAACATGATCTTCAGTACACAGTACAGGACCTCACCAGTGCATTGTTATTTATGAATTACAACATTGTAACTTACATAGTTGTTTATGTAAGTTTATTAACATTGTGTATAAGGTTTAACATAGCCATAAAAGAAGGCTGTCTAGACATTGAGGGTCTAGTACTTCAGCACAAGCACTTGTATTGCATACAATGTATGTCAGCTGACGGCTGTGTCAAAAGCTGTGCTTATGTTCTGTTTAGCCCTGGTGTTGCCCAAGTTTCTTTTCAGTAGAATTCCAGTGGTTTGTGTACTGCTGCTGCTGGACATGTGTACAAATACCCTGGCTATAACAGTACAGATATTTAACCTTGTTTTCTAGTTGATTGTGGTTTTAATTGAAACCTATGTCTCAGGAAAGAGTTCAAGTTTTTCCTTGCTTCCTGAGTGAATACTTCAGCTACACTTAGGTAAAATGTGGATGTGGTAGCCATGGCAACTCTGCTGCTCTATCTGTGAACCAGTGCTTGTAGCAAATCAAGTGTGTTGGGCCTTCAAGGAGGTATAGGTGTTCCTTTACATAATTTCTGAACCCTCCATACAATTTTCTGTGTTAGGCAGGCATTTGGCACCAAACTACTTAGAGGAGTTGTGGGGTGACCCAGAGCTGTTATTTTAGGCACTAAAGGGAGAAGAAGGTAGCCAGTTATTTGGTAGCAGCTGATAGGAGTATTGTGGACTTTGGTGACTCAGCTCTGCCTTATCCTGCTTTATTAGATATAGCACTTAGTCCAAAACTATTTGAGAGCAAAATTACAGTTTTAGGAGGTGCTGGTATCTTGACTTTTTTTCTAAACAGCCAAACAATTCATTTGGTAAGTTAAAAGTAAACCATCCAATGCACTTGTCTCTATAATTATATAAACCAAAGAAAATGTAAAAGAGTTTTTTCCAGGTGAAAACTGAGCTAGTGATGGAGTTTGACCCATAATGAGAAGCACCCAGCAGATGGCATCAGAGAACTGGGAAACCCGTTTTACGGTAAGGCCATGCCTAGGCTGCAAGTGCTGCTGCTGATTTTAGTAAAGTGAAATTTTGGCTGCAATGATCACATTCTCATTAATTGGTTAGTAACACTCTAAAATTCACTCCTAAGTGACTGCTGTGCCAGCTCTACTGTTCTGAGAATATTCATGGCTGTGCAGACTGAAGGTATTTAAAATTATTGTGATTTCCAGATAGGTCATAGTATGGATATGGCATCATTACAGAAAAGTAAAAGGCAGATTGTAAGGTGTAACTGTGATTCCAGTGGCAGCTATAAAGCCGATGGGGACCTTAGTTCAGTAAAGGACCCGAAGGGAGAATGCTGGCAAGGTATGGAGAGCTTGTGTTATCCCTGCTTTTCTTTGGTATCCTAGACGTGGAATTATCCATATCTACAGCTCTGGTGTTCAGGGAAAAGAAGGCTGTTAGAGTGTTCTTGTGAATGCCAAAGGTCTTTTTGTTCTGGTGCTGGATTTCGGTTCTTTGGGGTTTGTTTTGTGACCTCACTCCCTTATTTTCTTTCTTTTTCTTGTTATCATGGTGTTGGTATACTTTAGGCCATTTCAGTAGGCCTTCCTGTACTACTAGAGTTTAAGCTTTTATGTGTACGATGCCTCTTTCCTGTTTGCTTAGTCCTTGCTACAAATTGTATGTCCATATAGGCTTGAAAATCTAGATGCCTTTTTGCACGTGTAATGTCCAGTTTCCTTGTATGGTTTGGACAATTGTGTTTGCAAGTCAGGCAAGTAATTATCCGACAGCCTTTTTCAGATGAGTCTCTGGACTTTTGTAGTTTAGAGAACTACTGTCCCAGGCTATCATTTGATATTTTTATATGTGTAAAATAGAATATGCAGGAAACTCTTTTTTGTTCTTAAGTTGTCATTATAGAAGTTAATTTGCAGATTGTCCATCAGTTGCTTGAAAGTATTTCACAGAGTCCTAGTTTTCCCTTTTAATAACCTGTTTCTTCCCTAGTGAATATATGCAATTGTTTTTCCGTTAGCATTTATTCTGTTTAGTGCCTCGTCTTCTAAGTACTTTCTGTTCTTGGTAGATTGGAAATTGCTGTTATCTCTAATGTTTGCCTTACAGTTATCTTGTTCAAATAATGTAAGTCCATGAAAAAAAGCTGATCTTCTGTGTACCTCTGTACATGTCATGAATCATTTAGCTGCACTTGACAGTATACATTTTCTAATATAATCGGAATGCAAATAGTTTACTGTCATTCTCTGTATTGTCAAGGGAGTGACATTTGTAAAGCACTTCAAAGATGAAGTACACCATAAAAGTGCTAAGTGTTATTTTAATCTAAGGGCTTTGTTGAGAGCATTGGGCCAATGATCTGTTAGTGAGTGAATTAGCTATTCAGCTCAATCTTTGTATTAAAGTACAGTTTCCATACTGTTTTTGTTTTGCAAGTCATAGAGCCACCAATGGCTGGCTTTTCACGTGGTTGCAGCAATTAAAACAGGTAAACTAGCAAAACAACAGCCAGCGAAATATAGCTTATTTCAGTGCATGATGTCAGGGAGACTTAACATCCCAGTTTTTCAAAGTAACCTGCTAAAAACTCTGTGAAACGTAGTAGGACATAATTATTATACTTACTATATTTTTCAGGGGCTTGTTTGTGATTCTGTGTCTTGTCAGCTGATATAAAAATGTTTTCCACATGGTGATCTCTAGCATAACCTTCTACAGTGGAACCTTCGTTATTGCTCAGTACTTTTGTATAGAAGATCCTCGGATACCATTACACTCCATAATATAAATGTGGTTGATAATTATTCAATAATTACAGGAATTCGTGTGTAACCAAAGTACAGATAATTTTGTGGTATTAACTGTCACTTCAAAGAGCAAAAAGAGATTGAATGCTGAATACTAAAGCCATGTTTTCTGTTGGAGTAACAGAATTAAGTAGTTTGGTTTGCATGAGTCAGTGGTTCAGATAATTTATCTAATGTTATTCTAATAGTCTGATTCATGAAAGAGAAAAAAGTGTGGATGTATATAGACATGATAAGGCCTGCCAGAAATTATTTACAACTAAGTTTGTCCTTATATTGATTATGAGTCATACAGAAAAACAAATTATTTTGTAATTAAACATTAGCTTCTGATTGGACCGCACAGAGCACAGTGCAGCAAACACAGGCGTAAATGGCTATGAAGGATTTCCCTCAGCAAGAGATGAAACAGGTTTATAGTTAAGCGTTGTTAAAGAGATGTAATTATAAACCTGAGTAGAACATCAGCCATTTACTGCAAATTTACAAAAATATTTTGTTTTCTGTTGCTCTCCGAAGCTGGTTAGTATACTGTGACTTAGTTTATAAACTGCAGGTGTCATTAGGTGGCCCCCTATACTAATGCCAGCAAACCCCACACTTGGGGATGCTGAGTGGTGGGGTGCAAGGTTATAATGTAAGTTCTTCAAAGGATTGCTTCAGGATAAGCCCTGTGGTCTTGTCTGGCATTGGTACCACTTATACAGGGGAGAGGAGTGACAAGATGTACTTGATGTTCAAATACAGGCTTGGCCAGTACTACACCTGGCCATTTCTGTAAGCTATTAGGAAAACTTCCTGTTTGCTTTCTCAACATAGCCCAGCACAAGTGAGGAAAAACATTGTTCAGTGGATTTTTAGGTTCTGTCAAGTTTTACCCCTTCAAGTCCATCATATCATCACGTTTTGATGATTTTCTTGCCTGGTTAACTGTAGCTAATAGGATTGTGCATACTAGACTTACAGTGCTCTGGTAAAGTTACAACTTTTTAGAATTATATTTATAGTTGAAATTTCTACTGTCTATTACGTATCTGGATAGAAGTGTAAATTAAAGCAGACTCATTGGTAAGGGCCAGTCATTGAACAACAACCTATAGCACACAAGTATAAAACCTGACTGCCTTTGGATACACCAGAGCGGTAAATCAACTCAGATAAAAATTATTAATCTCAATGCACGTGGCTAAGGACTGATGATAATGCTACACCCAAGACTATGTTTTATTAACACT